GTGGCTAATGGTGCAGGAGTCAGGGAGCCAAGCGGCGAGAGGATGCTGTTGTCCTCAGAGCTGGAAGCTGCTCCCAGTCCGAGCTGGAGCATGCAGCCAAGTGCTTTCTGCCTGGAAGTCTGTCTCTCTTCCCTTGGCCTCCTTCCATTTCTTTCCACAGAGGACCCTAAGGGAAGGGCTTGGCTGGCCCCTGATGCCCTGCTGACCTCCCCGTTGAGATCCATGGAGCTCCCTGCCCTTGTGCTTGCCTTGGGTGGGGAGTGCAGGGAAGGGGAGACTGGGCCTTGGTCCCCCCTCGTATCCCAGGCATCCAGGTGTCTGACATGGCTCTGGATGGGTTATGTCAGGCCTGAATTTGGGAATTGAACTTTTTAGGCCAAATGTGCTTTCCTGAAGGAGGAGGGTTGATTTGCACAGTGTTTCTCATTAGATTTGTAGTACAGGGAACATAACCTTACTGCTTCTCTGAAATAGGTCTCTGCCTCCCTCCTTGCTGGCTCAGATCCATTCTGGTCAATTCTCACATTTGCATTAGGAAGTGATTAGCTTTTCCTAAAGAAGAAGGAGGCAGGGTTGATGGCAGGGGATGATGAGACAGATAGGGACAGATGAGAGATTGAGGTGATCTGGATGGGACTGCTTGGCTCAGCCACAAGTTCTTCAGAGAGCCCTAGATGCTCCACTGTTCAAAAATCTGTAAAATAAAGTTGGACTTAAAGCATATGCTGCAAATCAGTCAGATGGGATAGGCCCAACATGGATATTGCTGGCCTGCTGTCATACACAGTTTAGACTTGATGACCAAACTCTTCTGACTTTAGCAATAATTCCTAAATATGATGAGTTTCTCATCATTTGAAGCTTCTGAAGATTTGCTGTTTTGATTTATGTGGTCTTTCCATTTATCAGCTAAACCACGGGGCATAGAGATACCGGTCCTGTCAGAGGTCATCAGGGCAAGTGGGGGAAACCTTTTTATCCCAGCTGAACTTGGATCTGATTCTTTTAGCAGCGTCAAGGGATCTCTGATGTTTTTGCAAACTATTTCTGTTTTCTGCTAATGACTGCTGAGTTACATTTTGCAGGAGAGCTCTGCTCCTTCCGTTCTTGTGCTACACAAGCATGTGTACCGCCTTGGTGGAAAGAGCAGGAGTAAATCAGTGCAAGCAGCAGCCTCGCAACACCATCAATGTGATTCTTGTGCATGATAATAGAGGACAGTTTGATGTGGTCTGAGCAAGTAATAGACAGAGTTTCTTTATTACACGTTGTAGGTGGAAGCGAGACCACTGAAGCCAGGCTGGGAATTAATGGTAGTACTGCTGTACTGAAGTACTGCTGTTAACGTAGGTGTTATGAAAGTTGGTTTGCAAGGATTTACAGTGCTGTTTAAATATTAAGCTCATGGCATAGGTGCCTCGTTTGCCTAGTTGGGAGCATTGATCTGAAGATAGGGTGATGCAAGGCACAGTGATCTGCTGATGTCAATAGATTCTTTATATTGCAAGTCAAAAACCCATACGACTTGAACACCAGACTAGGACAAACAAGGATTAGGAAACAAACCTGCCACCCTGGCCCGTTTCTAGTCCCTGTCTTCCCATGCCTCTGTGCTGGATCTTTGTCCTTGCTATTTTCAACTTCAATTTCAAACCAGCCCGTAATTGCAGCCCTACCTGCAGCCAAGGCCTCCTCTCATGGCAGATCTTGCTCTTGGTGGTTTCCTACTTCCTTTGCTCCTTTACTTCATGCCTGCCTTAGTTGGCAAGGCTTTTCCACACAGAGGAGCCTGTTCGTTAACAGCCCTGTTTCCCTCCCACTGTATGAAACCCTTCCCTATTTGCAGCAGATACTATTTGTGCAGTGGTGTTAAGCTGATGAGAGGCCTGATATTCCACATGTATGCATATTCAGGAAATGAGTGATTTTCAGATGTGTTTAATATCCCCATCTTCTGCCAAATTTAATGTGCCTGCCTGTGGCAATACTCATAGCAGGCTGTGACCATGGCAAGAACAAGGATGCAGCTTTTGTGGCAGGACAGTACATCAGAGAGCAAGACTGAGACAAATGTAAGGGAATTTTTTAGATTGTTTAAACCACCTAGTTCTTTGTTCACGTCAATTTAAATTCTTTAACTACTTAGTATTTTGGGTGAAAGAAAAGCATTAATGATCCCAAATCCATCTTTTAAACAAGTTACTCAAAATTACCATAGACTTTGGCTCCTTCAGCAAACTCTAGACAGACTAAACTCTGCAACTCCTGAAATATTTAAGGGAGCTGCAGAGAAGAGTCAACTGCAGAGTCAAAAATGAAACTAACCTAGTACTTCCTCTCTCCCCTTGCTTTCTGAATGAAAGTGTTCAGGCCTTTTTCACCTGTCATAGCAAATAAAACCACTTTTTGCTAAAAGGTGGGTAGTATATGAATATTTTGCTTTGAAAGTGCTTGAGCAACACATGGGAAATATATATTATATTACATCACTGCTTCATAATAGAAAGTAGTTTTTAGAGGAACTGGCTGTAACTAAGCTTTTCAGGAGTGCTGGCTCTATATAGTGCCTTATATGCTTTTGGAAGCATTTCCTACAGATGAATAATTTGCCTTGTGTGACTAGATTAACCTGTGCAGGTAAAACAGAAGCTTTTAAATAAATATCCTTACCCCCGTGTGCTCAGGGTGTTAGGACTTGTTGAATCTTCTTTCCCACACCTTTGACTGTAGCACTGGCAGTCCTGTTCTGCAGAGACATCAATGACTGTCCATGTTGGCTTTATTAAGCTTGAAAGTGCTGTTGCAAATGGCACTAATTGGCATTTTTGCTGGCAGCCTTCACCAAGAGACGGAGAGCTGAATGGGCTGTGGAGCCTGCACTCCACTGTGCTCCAAAGGTGGCAGAGGACAGGGACATGCTGGCAAGTCAGTCTGAGAAAAGCTGATGCCACTATTACTTGGTCTATAAACAAAGGACTTCTGTTTCCAAAGCTGAGAAGCCCCAGCCTTTTTTCATGCTGTGACTCCGTTTGAAGAACAAGCCTGGACCCAGTTGGGTGAGTGATCTGTGTAGTCACTGGTGTGGTTTGCCCACAGTTCCACTCAGCCTCTCCCAGATTAAGCATCTTGGACACATCAATGAACCACATGTAGTGAGGTCTGTCAGTGACCTTCAGCAGAGTGATCCCAGCATGGGCTTGGCAATAGGCTTGACTTCTGTCCTAGAATAACAGGAGGGGCACAGCAGTTAGCTGACTTTGGACCCATCACAACATATTGAGGGGACCTTTTCTGTCTGCTGAAGTGAATTACCCGAGAGCTGGTGGGGGGGCTGTAGGGAATCACAGGGGCAGCTTTGGCCTTGAATTCTGGTGTTGTTAATGGGCTCATTTTAAGGTGTAGGATGTCCTGCCCAGCCTGTCATGCTGTTCCAATGTGTAATTAACCTCACAGCTTGGGAGCAGGAGTGTCTTCCGGCGCTCAGTTCAACTCCCCAGCTCCCCACTGCTGAATCTCAATATGTCTTTGTCAGCAAGGCAGATAAACCTTTCCTCTCACACCCAGCTCTGTCTCTTTCTTCCCCCACCTCAGGACACTTTTCTATGTGCAAGTCAGATCTGACTGCTTTACTTCTCATCTGTTTTGGAAGATGCTTCCATACCATTATTACAGAAGCAATGGGGAACACGTGCTCAGATAAAGAATTTAGCCACATAGATTTTAAAATATTTTTTTAAGTGGCTAAGCAAGGAATTAGTTCTTTGGATTTCTGTATTTTTATTATCAACAGGTAGCTGAAGAGAACAGTTACAGTTGTTCTGTGCTTTCCAGCAAGGGACTTAAATTCCCATGGTAATTAGTTTGATCATGTATCAGCTTGGTTTCTTGGGAAAAAGGAGCATTTGCTCTTCTAGGAAACATTTTCAGTGCCATCAGTCTAAGAATAGCAATCTTATTTCTGTTACATCTCAAATTTCAGAAGTATGGCTTATCTTTTATTGTGCATGCAGTATGGAGATTATTTTAGATGAAATACCACTCTGTTCTGCTGAAGCATGAAGAGCTTATAGCGCCTCATTCTGTGGTTTTCTTTTTTTTTTTTGCTAACCAAAATTAATTCACGAATAAAGAAATTTGTGCCTTGAACACGGCCTCTTGTCTCTGAGCGCATCAGTTCCTTGATGACCCCAAAGGGAACAACAATGCTGAAATAGTTCAAGTGGCAAACGACTCCCTAGCTACGAATTTAAGCACTGAAACAAAACCCTGCAGTTTCACTGACGACTTCCATGAACAGAGGCAAAGCTGCAGTGCTGTGGCCTAGGAGATTTCTATCATTGCAATGCTGGTGGAGCCGGCGCAGCTCGCTCCCTGCAGTGCTGGCAGGGGCAGTGCCAGTTTTACAGGGAAGTAAGCAGCGTGACTGCCCAGAATGCTGTAGAGTAAAGGTTGCAGAGCAAAGGACTGAAGCTGTACCCTTTGCTCAGGACTTTGATGTGTCCAACACAAGTGTTGGAGGCAGAACATTACCCCTGAAGGGTTTTTTCATCTGGACTGGCTGTGAAAGTGTTTTATGTACCCTGGGGCATCTCAGAAGGGAGAGCTGGGGGAAAGCTGTATATCTAAGCTATTCTTTTGGTACCCAGAGTGGACACCAAGAGGCTCATCACATCCTGCTGGAGACTAGCACTGGAGGAGCCAGAATCCACTGAAAAAGGCTGCTCTAGGGTTCTGGGCCATTGCCATACCTACATACCCCTCTGGTCAGAGCAGAGGACATGCACAAGACTTACCCACCTGCTCTCTGCTACCCTCCTCACCCTGCAGCAACCTGCCAGGGCAGGAACATTTTTTGGCTAGAGCAGTGTGTTTACTCCTGCTCTCCTCTGCCTGACAACAAGCACCTTGGCTCTCCAAGGGGAACAGAGAACTTTGCAAGGAAACCAACTGTTATTTATGCATATTTTAAAATATATTTTGTTCAGATGCACATGCCTGCCAGCCTTGTTTAGGGAAGCTTTAATAGTATTTGGCTTCTTTTTGGTCTTGTGTACAAGATGATGAAGTTTTCATCTGTGCCTTTAAAAAAAAATCCTGCATCCCTGCCAAGATGTATTAGGAGAGCTGTAAAAAAGGAGTCATCCTGTTCCAGGACCATGAGGCTTATGTAACAGGGAAATCCTAACGACAAGATACTCCCCCACCCTGCGCATGCTCTTCCAAGGCACCTGCCACTTCAGGGTTTTCAGTCACTCAATCTGTATTTTGATCACATCTGCCACTGGTTTATTCAGATGTATTTACAAATTGTCCCCCATACCCTTATTTGTACATGCCATAGAATGTTTTTATAAAATGCAGTGCAGACCTCACCTCACAAGGATCTTTAAATAAAATATATTGTAAAGTGCCTGATACAATTCCTTTAAAAAATACAGTTCTAATTAAAACAGATACTTGGCCACTGCATTAGCAGCTTCATGTACTGATGCATTTTTAGCACAACAGTCTATTTCTGTCAGGTGAGCAGGAGGCTCATACCACCCCTCTAGCTCTCCAGTTTCAAGTCCAAAGGCTTTAGAAAATGAGGCAGAGGCAGATCATCCAGAGCCTCTGGGAAATGCTCAGGTGAAATGGTCCTGATCAAGACACGCATGGCTCCGACAAACAGCGACGGGGGAGCCAAGCCCACCAGGCATTGGAACCTGTTCTCCCCCAGGAGGTCCTGCCACTGCTGCCGGTTGTCCAACAGCTGCTGTTTCATTGAGAACTGGAGGTCCTGAGGCACGAAGAAGAAGAGGCAGTCAAGGCAGAGGAGCTTGGCACGCATGTTAGCTGCCGGCATGTGGGAAATCTGCTCCAGCAAGGTGTCGAGGGGGGTATTCCCGGCACTGTCCTGCAAGCAGGGTGACGCGCCATGCCCGAGCAGCAGGAGCAAGCACTCGGGCCGCACCAGTTCGCAGGCCACGTGCAAGGCCGTCTTGCCGCCCTCCACGCGGCTGCAGCCCCGGCGGTCCAGGTGGCCGGCTCTGTCGCTTGGCGGGAAGGCTTGGATGGCCTTGAGGATTCGGAAGAGGATGCGGGCCCGGTTGTAGCGGACGGCCATGGCCAGGTGCGGGGCCGAGGACTGGCAGCAGCTGAAGTTTTGGCTGGGCACGGCCAGGGCGCTCTGAGGGAACTTAGTCAGCAGGTGCCGGGCGTAGGGCTGGTGGTCGTGCACCAGCGCGTAGAGTAGGGCCTCCGAGGGTGAGTACGCGCTCACCTTGCCCCCGTCCTCCCAGTGGAAGGCCTCCATGGTCCGCATGTCCTCCAGGAACCAGACGGGCAGCAGGTCCCTCACTGCCTGGTAGAAGGCGAAGGAGGATTTCTTGCACTGCTTCTGGGCTGTCTCTTATACA